GGGAAAAGGTGCCCCCCCCCCCCCGTTCGGGTTATTCAAAGTGCCCTACGTGTTCACCAGAGCTCAGACTAGTAATACAACAGACTCACAACGCCTATTGTTTAAGGTGTTAATCGGCTTAATTGTATATGCTATGTGTGCCACGCTCTGTAGCATTGACATAGACACCGTCAAAGTTTACCGAACACTGGATATTCTGCACACTTCGCGCTTCTTCGGAAATTGCGTATTTCTTCGTAAAACGGATCCGGATATTTTTTTAAAAAACGGGAGAAGCATTCTGGACATTTTGACCTTTGCAACTGTGTAAGAATTTTAAGAATCGACCAAGAATCAGGGGAGTTACAAGTAACTGAATGTGTTAGTGTTTACCTCAAATGAGCAACTTTGAAACGATATTTCTCGCTGTTGCGGATTTTGCGGAAGGTTTCCAATATTTTTTCGGAGAGAGCATATCGCTGCGTTTTGAACGATCATACTTCTTTGTGTGTTACCCGTTTTGTTTTCGTGTTCCGGATGCCGAAACATCAGATAGCTAGTGTTATGTACATACTAATTCTCTCAGCGTATCAGTGTGATCCGGTAACGGTAAAAACTGGAGGTGTGTTATTTTTGTCGCGTTCGACTTCATAGTACGCGATTTACGCGTTGTTCAGTGACTGTTTCAATTTTCTATTGTATGTCAGTATTGTTGCTATTTCGAGTTTCACTGATTTTGTTTGACTTCCGTCATAGTTCTGTATAAAAATAGCCCAGTATATTTCTTCTTATTCTTAATTTCAGGAAATGAAAAACACAAGATCGATCAGGGGTTGCAAAGTTCTACAGAGAAATTGTCATTATCTTCGTCAAAATGTTCTCCTAAAATAGCTTTCCACTCGTAATTATCGTCCTCAGATTCGCCAAATTTTTCCGTAAATGCCATTTTCGAAGTTCACTGTCAACTACTGTTGTCTATGCCACTTCCTGTCTTTATGTCTCGCGATAGTTGATTGTAATATGAATAGATCTCGCGTTATTTTGTGAAATATAATGAAAATGTTGTTGCTCAGCAACGTTTACTCGGTACGATAAGAACTGATAACCTAAACAAACGTGGTACGCATTACTTCAAAAGAAAACGCCGCGTTGCGAGTCTGTTGTATTACTAGTCTGAGCCTATACCAACATACAGTATTGACCATCATTATTAAAACGGGGGATTCATCACCTGCGCATGCGTCAGATGGCCATAGCGTGTCATTGTTTACAAACAAGCGTCTACCCATGAGCCTTTGCGTTTTTAGCATGTGTTGTTATCGTTGCTTGGGACTCAATTCACGCGCGTGCGCAGGTGACGACCCTCCTGCTTTGAAACAACTTCAATCCATAACATTCTAAACTCTAGCTACTAGTATATACGCTTATCGTATTCCAGAATCAAATCGCCTTGTTCTCGTCTAACATCACTACTACTGCATACTTCTGATTATATATTTTACTTTATTTGCTAAACATAACATCAGCCTAGAAAACGACATGCAACTGATATGGAAAGTGACAACCCATGTGTGTTCACATTTTTAAATTTATAACTCTCTCATATATTTACTTATTCATCTAGTACCAGTACTGTAAAACATGCATTTTTAGCTAGCATGATGTAATCTGCAATTTATGTAATTAAGGTGTAGCTAATATTCTCACAATTAGATTGTTGTCACTTTAGCTAAATTAATATTCTGTTAATTGAGTAAAATCTGCTTAAATGGAATATAGTTGTTTATAATATATTTTACCGTATACAACACGTTCAGATTAATATGGCAGAGTGTTGGATTATTACCCAGAGTACAGTTCGACTAATCTCCAGACAGTCACAGGCCATTGATTCTGAACTCAGACAACTAATATTACCGGTAGTTGAGTTCTAAACTATGATAGCGTATACACACTACTCTAACAGTATATCAATCTGGTTAAAATAAGATCCTGGTTGGCTTAATTTTTTAAATTTTATTTTAATATATATTTTTTGTATTATTATTATTAATTTTTATTATAATTATTATTAAATTTATTTATTATTCATTTTAATATTTGCCTCTACAATTAATTCGCCGCACCGGTGGCTTTCATAAACAAACCAATTTTTGCAGTAAAATAATTGTAACGTCAAAAAATTATTAAAATAAATAAAAATTATATATAAAAAAATTAAGCCAAACAGAATCTTATTTTAGGATCTTAGTGTATGTAGTGCAATGTATAACCCCAATTCTCCGTAGTATACTTGTACCGTAACCATGTAATTATTTTCAATTCAAGTGTCCGTGGCTGGATTTGGATCAACACATTTCTGACTTGTTCAAACAATATTAGAGATGATTTTACATTTTTTTTTGTATACGAGTTATATCAATGACTGTAAATGTCATTCATACCAGCAAGCATCAAAGATCATTAGTAAAACCTGAATTCCACATATGCTAAGTCTTCGTACAAATAGCAACATATAAAGTGTATTTTATTCAAATAATAATTTTATGATCCCAGTGCGTGCAAATCGTTGTAGGTGTTTTCTGAATGAAACTGCAAAATGAATATTTAATGCGACAACAAAAACAAACAAAAAAACAAAACAAACGAACACAAATGTAAATATCATGATGTTTTTAGGTCATTATAACATCAGAAGTCAAAATACATATTTTCAGAGGTGCAATAAATAAATGTATTCATTAATATTGTTATCATGGATTCAATTAATCTAGTGGATTACTCCAATGACTCTCACCAAATTATTATTTAATAGAAGGCTCTTTTATGTGCTTTTTAATTCGATTATACATAAATAATTATTTATTATGTATTTAGCGAAATAAAAAAAAATATTTCAAGAGTACTATAATTGTCTATGACGGTATAACGAATGTGCACTCACTGTAAAATTGGTGAAATACAAAGCTATGAAAACGTTACATGGCTATGAATGCTTTACATTTTAAAAAGTTATACATATATGTATAGTACACGTATCCGTATTGATGCATTATTCATGAACAAAATGATAGTTCATTAAAAACGTGCTTATAAAAACTAATACATTCGAACCAATTGCGACCATGGGAGGAGCACCACTGATTGGCTGAGCTTCTGCAAAAATAAAATAAACATACGGTATGTAATTTAATGGTCTACAATGCAAGTAAATAAAATAATAGCGATACGTGAAAGAAATACTTACCGCATTTATTAACACACACGCGTTGTGAACTGACCACCGGGGTATGTGCGTGTTTACTGATTGTGTTAGTTACTGAGTCGAACCCTCCACCATTTACAACATAGAAGAAATAAGCACAATCGTCTCCCGTACCGTCCAATGCAACATCCTGTAACACAAAAATGTTAAGCCAAAAGTTGGTAAATTACTGTAAAACCTCAGTAATTTATCTAACCCATATTTTTGCTAAATAATGTTATAGTCAATTAGCATACAATAAGTTACCGAAATTAGATTGCTCGCACATTTTTTTTTATCTTACTTTTATTTTACGTAAATAAATGAATGCACGACGTCACATGTGCATGGCATTGTTTAGTTTTGAATATATTGGCCAAAGCTAACATACATATTTTTAAAATACCTGTTCGTCACCAGTATTTCGTTTCCTCTTGAACGCGACGGTTGTCATCCCATCCACCACAATGCCAGTTTTCAATGTGACGTGTTCGCTATCATCCACAACAGCGCCACCACTGTATGAGTCGATCCAACCATCGTATATATAAACTGATGTTGTATTTCCGCTGCCGTCATCGCCAACCCAGCCAATCACAACGTCACTCTTAGGCTAGGTAAAAACAACATCAGATGCGAAATCGGATCAATGTATGTTTTTTAATACATTATCGTAATTTTACAATAAAGACAAACAGCCCAGGTTATCTGTACTTTCCGAGGTCCAATAGACCTAAACTGTTGAAGAAGTCCGGTCTCGGAGCGCTTCATCGGAATGATTTGAACTAATTAAGCAAAAGCATTACCATGTGTTTGTCCAACGAGAATCCAATTCCGGTCCATTTATTATTACCACCATTGCTTGTTATTATCTCAAACGTTACGTCATCACTGACGTCATCGTATGACCAAGTCACACTGTATTCACATGCATCTCCTGCACAATCGGTTGGTGTTTTCCATTCACCTTGGCAGAGACCCGACAATAAGTCATCAGGATCAACTGTAAATTACACAAATCATAATTTGTCAAAACATGGTAACAAAAGTAATGTCAGTTCATCAGTTGTATTAAATGCTGCTACAAGAAAATTGACATCAATATATATCAACTTTTATCAAGGCGAACGAAATATCGTAGAAGTCACACTACATGGAAGATATTTAAAAAAAATGCTCATTTGCAACACACACAGTTTGTACACATTTAATAATATTGTAATCCTCGGGGGCGGAGCTACGTCACAAGACGTTCGACGTTGCTAAGACGCGCATCACTGTACATGCATTTCTATGGGCTCTGTGCGTGCTGCTGTGGAACGCCGGTCGAGCCGGTGAAAATTCGAGAAAACAACACAAACTCAACTTTGATGTAATCCTGAACAACCAAATTTATATATGTTACACACGTAAGGCTAATCTTGTTACACTGTTCAGGGAAGTGTCATGAATTTGTTTTCGCGTATCTGTTGACCGACTTACTTAGCTGATTATTAGCTGAATTGCTGTGTTATGTCTGTCATCGTTTAGGCCTATTTGAAGTTTTGGACGGAACTTGGCTCAGTGATTTGGAACTAATTACGAGATAATCGTCGCCATTCTGACAGTTTATATTCATAGTTATTAATGTAGTGAACGATTAATCAAAAGATATGACGTACTTAGTGTACTCAGTGAGTATTCAGTACTTAGTGTGATTGGCTTTATGATTGAAGGTTACGCCCTAGAGTCTTTTTACTGCTTTGTAATTGGTTAGAGTTGTGAAAATGAATAAAGAGAGTTTGAGTTGGTCCTGAGGAGCACAGCACGATAGACGCAGTCGAGAGTCCAGTCCAGACTCGCCTTGAGGCAGTCCAGTCTTGGGCGAGTCTTGGTTCAGCCTTGTGAGAGTCTTGGGGACTTTTCCCCAGGGCGCTGTGTCTTATAGAGTGCTCCAAAAGATCGACTAAGACGAGAATTGAAACGTATTTCGTTGTGTGTGCCTTATTTGACTGTAAAGTTAAAGTGACTTTCCAGATCCCGTACCTCAAGGGGACGAGATAGAGAGACGAGACGAGTTTTCCCCCTGACACGTGTGGAGAACCCTGTGGAGAAGAATTTCCCCCTGATAGAAGTCTCAACCATCCCAAAGTACCGTTTTCTGCGAGTTTTTGACCTTTGTTTTCACCGCGAGGGTTGTCAAGCGGTGAAAATGCCCGGATGACCGCCCCGAGGATAGATAATACGAAGGGCTTATACCAATTTCAGCTAAGACGGTGATGTTATTCTTGCGACCGACTGGCAATTTGCATATATGTTCGTTTGCACCATAATTACGTGGACATGAAAATTCCAAAGTTTACGAAGCTTCGATATCATGTAGTACGTAATTTTTTTCCTTACCATAGAAATTCATCACAACAGCGCCTCTCTGCGACGTATCATGGCCATGCCATCGTAGTTCATCTATTTTGTAGAATTCCTTATTGGGTTCGTGATTGGCTGGTGGAGGATGATAACTTCCGACTTCCTGGCCACGCGACCAAATAACTGCCATGTCCTCGTTCACAATGCTGTGGTCATAGACTTCATTTGCTATGGTACAATATAAACAAGTTTATGTGTAACAGAATAATT